AGTTGCCAAGTCTTGCAAATTCTGTCTCTGTGAGATCTCAGAAGGCAGATGACCCCTTCTCTACCCTTATACAAGTTCCCGTCTAGTTCAGGCTCGTTATTTCTCATCTATGTAACAAGAATGCACCCCGCCCCCCCCCATGTGGGTAACGAGGCCTGTCTTTGTGTGGCTCGGAGGGAGGCAGGATAAACCTCTCTAGCTTCTTCTTTGCTGACACTTCTCCAGGGGAGACATTCACTTCTGCCAGGTCTGTGATTGAGTTCCATCTAACTACTGATCACTTTGTCAGTATTGTTGGGGTACAGCACACCCCAAGGTCTATATCCAAGGCTTGATTCCTTTCCTACCATTCACCAATTCTGTGATGAGCACATATAGTAAATAGCAAAGAAAACTCATTTATCCAAATCAATAGCAAAACGTAAATCAAAGAAGGCATACGTTAGAGAGCATATACCAGACAATGCAGAGTGAAGGAGCTCTCTCACTGGGACCGAGATAACTCGGCTCAATCAAAAGAGATCACACTTGATCTCCTGCTAGGAAGAACTTGCTGGCAGTCTGGAGCATAGCAAGCGAGGGCTAGGGGTGTGATGGAGGCTGTTGGTTGACCTTTTCCATCTTTTCTCTTAAAGCTGGAAGCCAGGAGCCCCTGACCTGACTTGATGCTTAAAGAGTCTGGCAGAGGCATGAAGAAGGGTGCAACTCTCCCACTCTCACCAACTCACCCCTCACAGCAGGACTGGGCCAGGCCTTCGTCTCTACCAATCCCATGCGAGTGGGCTTTGGGGTGGGGTGACACCCATAATAGTCTATAATTGGTTTTCCGGCTGCCAGTGTTCCCCCTATCCAAACCATACGGGGCGCCTGAATATTATTTCCCTAAGACACGGGTCTGACCTTGTTTCTCCTATTGGTTCCCCATTACCTCTCAGACTGGGAATCTTAATCTTTTTAGTGTCATTAACCCCTTGGCCTACAGACCCCTTCTGAGAATAATGTTTTTAAATGGATAAAGTAAAATACATAGAAAGGAAACCAATTATATCAAAACAAAGATGTAATTTTTCTCTTCCAAGTTCACTGACCACCTGAAATCCATCCATGGTCCCTTTGGGGGTCTGTGAATTCCAGGCTATGAGCCCCTGCTCTAGGATGAAACACAAACATAGCTAGGCATTTAAAACTCTCCATAATCTGGCTGCCACCTCCATTTCCAGTCAGCCCCCACATCCCTCTCAACTGTAGTACAGCCATTTCCTCCCCCACAAAAGAAATGCTTAAGACACAAACAGTGCATAAGCATGCATTAACAAATGCGGTCCTCAAGTCCTCAAACTCGCAGGTTTAGATTCAGTCAAGGGGCCACACTTGAGGACCTAGAGGGCCACATGTGGCCTCGAGGCCACAGGTTCCCCACCCCTGTGATACCCTGTCTCCTGGTTGCAGGCAGTCACATATCCCATGCCTAGAATGCACCCCCTCTTTTTCTCCAGCCCTCAGAAACTCAGTTCAAATGCTACTTCCTCCATGAAACCTTTCCTGATCCTCCCATTTGGTAGTTATTTCCCTTCTGAATTTTCCTTTTGCTACATTTATTTGTATTGCACCCCCATAGTAGTGCCTTGAGGCAAGGGACTGTTTCTTCTTCCCCTCCTACCTAGGATATTGAGATGCTTAATAAATATTTGTTAAATTGAATTATGAATGTACAGAGAGAGGTTTTTGTAATTTAGTAGATTAAAAAAAGATCATATGCAGGAAACTGAAAGGCACACTTCAAAGAAAGATAAATGTTCCCTGGTTAGAATAATTTTTCACAATCAGAATCATATTTTATTCAGAAAATCCATATAGCATTTAAATGCTTATCCTACAAAACATCTAGCTCTTATTTTCCATCAGCCACATTTGTGCACAAAATTGTAAAGTAGGTGAGATTTGTTTTGGAACATCCTCCTACCTTTCTTGTTTCTTTGAAACCATTCTTTATTGCTCTTTTGTTTTACTGTCATGTACACTTCCCACAGCCTTCTCACTTCCCCCTTCAGAGAGTTATCTTTTATAACCAGTTCAACAAAACTAACCAATACCATCCAAATCTATTATTTTATGTAATGGGCAAGTCATTTCACATCTGTCTTCCTCAACAAGGAAAAGAAAATGGGGCTGATGAATAATGCTCAAGATATCGACATGCTGAATCTGAAAATATCACACTTGAATCTAAAGTTTCTCATAAGAGCAAGAGGTTGACTGGACTTTCAAATGTGGTGGATAACCCATTTATATTCCAAATAAATATTCCAAATAAATTCTATTTTGAAATGATTATAGAATTTACATAATCTCAGAACTTCAGAGTTAGAGGAGGCTTCAGCAGCTCCCACAAGGAATCCCCACTACAGCATGCCCATAGCCCAAAACAGTCCATTCCACTTTTGGTTGGTTCAGATCCATAGGTCCCTAGATCTCCAGCTGGGAGCTACCTCAGAAGACATCGAGACCAACCCTTTGATTTTATAAGGGAAGAAACTGAGGCCCCAGGAAGAAATGATTGGTCCATACCAGATCCATACTAGGCAGGAAGTGCCTGAGGCAGGATCGGAGTCCAGATCCTCTTACTCCGAAGTCAGTACTCTTTCCACCGTGCTGAATTGCTTCAAGATTTTTTTCATGCATCAAGCCTAAGTTTGCCTCTTTGCCACTTCCACCCAGTTCTCCCACTTCTACACTCTGGGGCCAAACAGAAACATTTAGTCTTTCCTCTGTGTGGTTAAACAAAAAATTTCCTGCAGGTTAAACAACCCTAGTTCTTTCAGCCAATCCCCATATAACATAGATCAAGGCCCTTCACCATTCTGGTTGGCCTTCTGTGTATATTCAACTAGTTTGGCACCCAGAACTGAATGGAACGCTTCTGATGTGATATGACCAAGGCTGAGCACAGCAGAATGATCATCCCTCCTTCCCAGAAGCTCTGCCTTGTCATGCATCCTAAGATTGCACTAGCTTTTTCTTCTCTTTAGTGTCCTAAAGAAGTCCTACTTGGAAGCTTCCTGATCATGTGGAGGTAGCCCTGAGGTCTCAGCTAGCTTTTGAAGGTGCTACTAAGTTCTGAAGACAAGTATTGGCCTAGAATAGACTTTGGGTAGCACTTGTCCTTGGACAAGTGCTCATTGAGTTGGAAGAGATGCAGTGCCAGGTTGGCCCTAAGATGACAAACTCTTCAGCCATAACTCCCAGAGGCCCCTAGAGGGTTGTAGTTTGTGAGGGACTATCTCCATCACAGAAATCCTGGCTCCTTGAAGTACCAAGACTGTTTCTTTCTTTTTTGGTTTTTGGTTTTTGGTTTTTTTAGGCAATTGGGGTTAAGTGACTTGCCCAGGGTCACACAGCTAGTATGTGTCAAATGTTTGGTCTGAAGCTGGATTTGAACTCAGGTCCTCCTGACTTCAGGGCTGGTGCTCTATCCACTGTGCCACCTAGCTGCCCCCCAAGACTGTTTCTTTCTAGGGGAAACTCACCTGTACTTCACATCCATATGTCATGCCATTGAATGGTTGTGAGTAATCTAATCCAAGATGGTGGTCTGGAGTAGGTGAGCTGTAGACTGTGTTTGCTAAGAGGCAGAGAAGGTGGAAAGTGCATCCTAGGTTCTAGATACAATTAGAGTAAAGATGTAGTAAGGTGAATGCAGAAGATGCAGGTGGTCAGTGTTCCGGGAATGAAGGGTCCCTTGGGGAAGCTACAGAAGTAAAACTGGTGATGTAGAACAGGACAGAGAAGTGGGTAGAGTGGCATTAAAGGTCAGGAAAAAGAGATTGGCTGTAATATGGCTGGCACTGGGGAGCTACGTTAGGTTCTTGAGCAGCTCTTGTCTGGGGTAGACTGACATCCTTTAGAATGTGTGCCTTCAATATTTTCTTCTGCCGCATCTTCCCTCTCTGAGCCAAGCCTATCCTTTCCTCTATTATCTGCCTGTCTAGGGGCTACTCATTAGGTCCTCCCTCACACTTCCATCCCATTTGTAAATTTAAATGGTTTAACTTGAGTGTGACTTTTCTCCTCTATTTTGCTTTCTGTGAAACTATACTTCTTATTCCGAATCACAGAATTTCACAGCTGGGATCTCACAGACCACTCCTCCCCATGGGCAGCAGGTCCCAGGACTCTAGTGCTGGAGTTCCTCTCTCCATCATGTCACCTATCAATTCAATTTAAAAAGCATGTGTTAATCACCTACTATGGGCCTTTCACAATGTTAGATGCTAGGGATTCATAGATAAAAAGGAAACGGCCCCTGCCCTGGAGGAGCTTACATTTTACCTTTGGAGAAACAACATGTAGACAGAGATAGGCAGAGAAATACAAAGTAAATTCAGTGAGATGTTGGGAGAGAGCAGTAGCACTTGAGGAGGAGGTGGGGAGGATGAAGGGGCTGCTTGAGATGAACCTTAAAGGGCTTCAGAGATTCCAAAAGACAGAAGTGAGGAGAGAGAACATTCAAAGGCTCAGAGGTGGGATCTGGAATGCTGTCTGCCAGGAAAAGGAAGACAATTGTCCTGTTATCCTGGAGTCTTAGTCTCCAAGGATAATCAGAAACTTTCTTTTCTTACTATTGAGCAGTGTGGTGTATGGTCCAAAGAACACTAGACTTGAAGTCAAAAAAAGGCCTGGATTCAAATCTCGGCTTGGAGCAGCCCTGGGCAAATTATTAAGCCTCAGTTTCCTGCTCTGTACAATGGGGCTAATAATACCTGTGCTCTGTACCTCATGGGGCAGTTTAAGGACAGTGCTCTGAATTTGTGAACAAGCTGTAAAACTGTGGCTATCATGAGTTATTTCAGATCTGCCATCCCCCCTAACTTTTCTTCACCTATTCCCGTGGTCAGGCAGTAAGTCCATAGCATGGATGGGTACTCCCTGCATGCCAAGCTGTTGCTTGGACACTGTGGGAGCTGTAGAGGAAAAAGACACGATTCTCATCTTTAGAAAGTTCCCAGTTTACTAGGAGAGACAAGGTACATACTGTGGAGTGACTAAATATATACAAAATGAAAACAGAACAACCTCCATTTGTTAATGGTGTAGTTTCCCATCCTTCTTTCTCCCATGTCTTTTCCTGTGTTCCATCTTGCATTTGTCCTTTGATTCCTTCCTTTTGGCTCTTTTATAGCCCTGACTATGCCTACGTACTCCTAAACCTGTGGTGGCATTGTGTTCTTCAGAAGCCAGTGCCCAAAACTCACTCAGCTCCAGGCCCCAGACTTAGTTAGTGCACTAACATCAACAATGCAGCTGGGCTGTGTTGGGGCCATTTTAGCACCCTACAGCAGCCTAACCTCGTGGAGAAAGTGCTGGATTTGGAGTCAGAAAGGGGAAGGTTAAAATCCAGCCTAAAGCTGTGCAACCCTGGGCGAGTCATTGTGCCCCAAGTGCCTCCCTAAGACTATTGGAAGCCAGAGATGGGTCGGATCTACATCAGGAAGAAGTTCTTGCTCTAAATCTCAAGGCTTTCTTGTATATTCATAGTGGTGGGAAGGGTGGGGGAGGGAGGGGGGCAAGAAGGGGGACCCTTCTGTGATTTATCCTCCTTTCCATTTCTGGTGTGTGTTATTAGAGCTATGTTCCTCTTCAAAAGGAAATTCAGTCAAGAAGTTCAAGAGATTTCTTCAAAAAGAAACACTTCCCCATGTCCCTAGTCCCCAAGTTTCAGCCCATGGTTAGCTCGTGACGGAAGGATTGCCAAGACCATGGCAGGATTGGATTCCTCTGCACCCCCCCTCTCTTAACCTGTCCAACCCCAGCCCATACAAATGCCAGCAACGGGTAACCCATGGGAGACCTACTCTGTGGTAAAGTCAGAACTTGCCACACCATCCCCTTGGCTTAAACCAGTGTCACCTGTGTCTCCCTCAGTGCCTCTGCCACAGTGCCCCAGAAGGGAGGACCCTTGATTCTGCAGTGCCTTCAGTCCATCTCCAAGGGCCCTGCGAAACAGCTGAAGAGGAGAAGTAGAAAAGGAGGGGATCGAGGCCAGCATTGAGGGCACTGAACAGCACAGCATACTTTCGCCAGCTTGGGGTTTTGCCTTCATAAAACCCTATCACATGGGAGACATTGTAAGGTGCAAAGCAGAGCAGAAAATTGAGGAGAGTCACGACCGCCAGGCCCACAGCTCTCTGCTGTCGCTTGGCTCCCACCTGTGGCTGTCCCATCATGAGACACACAAAACGCCAGTAACAGAAGACAGTCACTGCCATGGGCAGGCAGAAGAGGACCAGACAGACCTCCAGCCGGAATGAGAGAACCGTGTACAGCTGGCGTGGATTAAAATCGTTGTAGCATTCAAAGTCCGTCTGGTTCTCACTAGTTTTGTTTCTTGGTTCCAAATACTCCACCACTATGACCATGCTGCAGTGTCCAAAGGACAGGATCCAGGCCACCAGAGCAGCAGCTAGTCCGTATATGGGCCGCCGAGAGATCTTGTACTGGACTGGGAAGGCCACCCCCAGGTACCTCTCGATGCTGATTGCAGCCAGCAGCCACGTGCTGCAGTAGATGCTGCTATAGAAGCCAAACCCAGTGAGAGCGCAGGTGGCCTTCCCCAGGAGCCAGCGGGAGTTATTGGCAGCCTCAACCATCTTGAGAGGTAGCAACAGGAGCAGAAGGAGATTTGCCAGTGTGAGGCTGAGCAGGAGGATGTGGATCGGCGCTGGGTGGGGCTGCCGGACTCTGCAGATGAAGGCACGAAGGGCCAGGAGGTTGGCCGGGAGGCCGATGAGAAAGATCATGGTGTAGAAGGCAAGGAGCAAATAGTTTTCTGTCCTTTGGTCCATTCAGCTGTGGTGGAAAGGGGCAAAATTAGGAGGAACCCCCTTCAGCCTGGGTCACCAAGTCTCCCTTCCAGTCTCCCCTCTTGGGATTCTAGCTACCTTCTCCCCTCTCAGGAATCTCACTGTCACTACTGCCTGCTCACACCACCTGTCAGTGCCCCACAGAGTAATTATTGACTTTGCCTTGGGCGGGATATTAAGTTCCAGTTATTACATTTGCCATCTTGTATCTCTGGGAGAGACCAGCATCTAGCTTCTAAAGGGCATCCTCTCTGTCTCCCATAGCCTTCCCAATCCCATCTGACAGTGCAGGAAGAGGCTTTTGTCCTGTTCCACTTAGAGAAATGAAGGAGTGGACCTCCAGGTCCCATCATGGAGAACAGATCACTTTCTTGGGGTAGGACAGGCATCATGGGAAGCCAGAAATCCTGCAAGCAGCCTCTGGCTTTCCCCTGCAGACTCTGCTTTGTTCCCTGGGCTTTGCCCCCAGATGTCCAGGGCACTGACAGCAGCTTGTAATCTTCACTATTCTCAAAACAACAGAATTTAGCCCCTGGTTAACAAGAATAATTGGCAGGTTGGGCTGAACTGCTCCCCCTCCTACTCTGTTCCTAACTAGCCCCTTACTTAGGGGACCTGTTTCATGACCCTTACCCTGGCTGTGGGGAGGTGGGGTAAGGTCTCCAAATTTCTAGTTTTGGTTCTGGCCCTGTAGTATCCAGCCCTCCTGGGCCTTCTCTGCACCTCACACCCCGTCCCCTTTATAGAAAGCAGTTTTTTTTTCTCAGATCCCATTTCTATCTTATCTTATCTCTGTGTTTAAACTATGAGTAAGGGAAGCTGGTCACAAGCCAGATAGGCTTGTGAGTGAAGCTCTAATTCAAATGTTCCCACTCTTGGGTTTGCCCCAGGACATTTCATATCTCATCAAAGAAGTGCACATGCCGTAACTGATAGGATGGTTTTTATTACTGCCTCTGCTTCTAATTAGGAGCCACATAGGCTTTTTGGTGCCCAAACTAACTGCCTAGTCCAACATCACCTTTAATCTCTCCCCTCTAATGGGTCTCTCCCAGTTACTTTTGTAAGCCTGGTCTCTCCTTCCATGGGTTTCTCCCCCTACGCTATCCCCTGCCTCTGAGCCTCATCCCCATATCCCATCTTCAGCAGTGTCCCCTGCCATGATTACACCTTCAGCTGTAATCCCAGCATCCCATTTCCGAGAGCACAAGCAGAAGGAACCTGATTGCCTTGTCTTATCCTGTTGTCAGATGGATGGCTTCTGGAATCAGCCTCAAGTAGAAGTCTTCAGGCTTCTGGAATCAACCTCAAGTAGAAGTTTCAGTCTTCTGGGTAAAGGCACAGAATTTTAGGTGCTGCTACCATCGATTTCATGCAGAAGAAAAAAAGCAGGGAAGCTAGCTGGCTGAGGGGTTTATACCAAGATGAGTCACATGGTTAGAGAGAGGAAGGTCAGTAGTTGAGCTGTCTCCTCCAAGAACCCAGAACCAAGTTCTCATATTTCTAACCTCAATTCTCGCAGTAGTCCTATGAGGTAGAAATTATTATCCTCATTTTACAGATGGTAAAACTAAGGTTAGGAAAGGTTAAGTGATTTGTACAGGGTCATACAGCTAGTAGGTGTCCAAGGAAGAATTTGAACTCACGTCTTCCTGACTCCAAGTCTAGTGTTCTGTCATGCTGATGGAGTTACAGATCCTTCAAGTGTTTGCCATTGGTAAAAATGCTGAAAGGCTATGGAAACAAATGCTCCTCTTCTCTCTTGGAATATTTTCTAAATGTTCCTACATACGTGTTTTATTATCCTCTTAGAAATGTAGCTCTACTATTCCTTCCCCATCCCTAGCCTTTATTTTTTTCCTCACAGGTAGTTACAATCCACTCCTGCGTACCCATGCTACCTTTTCTTTGTGATTTCCTTTCCAAGATTTGTAGAAGTAGCTTATTCCTAGCCACCCTAAAAATCCTTAAAAGTTATGGAATCATAGCTTTTTAGTACTGGACCTTGGAGGTCATATACCCCATGGAACAAATAACATAATCCATGGCCCAAGGACTCCCAGGCTCTGACCTCACATGGGCTGGGTTTGATCTCAGGGACTGACCTGAAACTTCTTTCTCTCTTTATTCATTATGCTCCCCTCCCCCCACATAGCATTTACTCTGAGAAATCTCTGACTACAGCTCATGTCTTTAGTTTTGTAAATGTGGATAACAGGATTTCCAACTTCTGTATAAGCATTCAAGGTAACAAATGTATAGCCAGTAGAGGACAACCTTTATTTCACTCCACACACACACTAAGAAAAAAAAATGCAAAAGTTGCAAAAGGTTTACAGAAATGTATAAACAGATTTAAAAAATATATATATATATATATATATATATATATATCATGCACTTAGAGTAGTTCATAAGCAATAAACACAATTATCTTCTATCTTTCTGGCAGATCTCAACTTTTCCACCAGGGCCCTAGAAACCTTCAAGGTATTGACACAAAAAATGGAATGAAACTTGAGGTTGCCAGGGGGACAGCAGCCACAGGCTTCTACAAAATTTCTCCCAAACTTGTAGTGCCATCCTGTGGTTTGAACTTCCCCAGAAGGCAAGCATATTGGGGGACTACTGGACAGGCAAGCCTGTACTGTCTAAATAACTAATGATAATAGTGTGAAGTAAAGGCCAGGGGTTCTGCTCCACCATATTGTAGATTTAGCTTCTTATTAATCCCCCAGCTATGGGGCCAATGGACAAACTTTTCATTATAAGAGGCATTCTGCTTAGGAACATCATTCTGTTCTCTAAAAGACCAGATTCCCAAACTCTCAAACTTGGAGTTTTTCAAGAGACAGTTCCCCCAATTGGTACTGCCCAAGAAATCTCCCTTTTATGACTAAAAGACTGAATGGTGAGACCACCATGACTAGGAAATCAAAATCCCACCTCCTCCATAGAAGAGATGAGTGTCCACAAACACCCTCAAGGCCCATGGGATGATCAAATGCTCCTGTCCCAGGGCAGCCATTTATGGGTGTCAGTGAGGGTAAGGGACAGTGTACCCCTTTCCCAGGATACCGATCCACTTTTGGCTCTCCTGCCATCTCAGAATCTTGAAGACAAGAGAAAAGGAGTCCTCAAAGGGTTGATCAATTCTATGACTCGCCTTTTTATATTAGCCAATCAACAAATATTTATTAAATACTTAGCACGGTGCTTGGTATATGTTAAACACTTTATCAAGGTTTATTGAATTAATGAAATATATAATATGTGCTAGGCAGTGGGGATACAATAAAAATGTCCCCGCCTTCACAAAGCTTTCATTTTATGGAGGGAGGAGCATATACACATATGTAAGTAAATACAAAATACAGACAGGGTGTTTGTTTGGGTGGGGAGGCTACCAGCAGCTGGGATTTGGGGCGGGAGGGCAGAAAAGGCCTTGAACTGATCTTGGAAAGATTTTACGAGGTGGAAGTAAGAAGGGATGGCATTGCAAGAAGGGGGACAGCAGGTCCAAAGACTTGGAGGAGGAAGATAGAGTACTGTGTGTTTGAGATGAGTAGGGGATGTGCAGGCAAATGTTTAAGAGCCAGCTCTCTACCAATTCACAGAGCTTTTTTTTTTTAAAAAAAAAGTTTAGTCTGCATTATTAACATTTTATCCATCATGTCCTTAAGTCTAGATAATCATCGAAGCAATAAATCAAGCTGAAATTTGTGGCAAGGGCCAAATATAAACTCTTCTGTTTGGCATTTAAAACCCTGCATGATCTTGCCCTCATTCAGGGGCTATCTTTTGTCCTCAGCAAGGTGCCAGTGTCACCCTGCGGGGAGAAGCGTGGCCATCCAGGAGTCTGAGTAAACACTCACTGTCCAGTAGGCTCATCACGTTGATCAGGGAATGGCCCCTACTCCACAATAACCATGAGAAATGGTAATAATCATTGACAAAGAGCCATTTCTAGGTTGCAGAGCATCTTATCTATCTCATTCAATTGGTCATTTCCTTCACTGATATGGATTGCAATCCATCCATGCCTGTCCATCTTGTGCCACCCTTGGTCCGTGGCCTCCCCCAAAACTGACCCCCACCTACTCCCCAAACCACAGGAGGGCCAGTGGAACACTCTGGTTAAGAAGGGTCAGGAAGGATCAGAGGCAGGATCAGAGCTCTTAGCCCAGCACTCCATCTATGCTGCCTGGCCAGGGGAAATGCTTCCCAGGTCTTTCTAGGATGGAGGCATCTTATTTTCCAGCCCTTCTTTCTCTTCAGTTGCTCTCCTTAAAGAGGCAATATGTTGACATGAGGAGAAGGCTCTGAGTCAGACAACTTGGGTTTGCCTCCCCATTGTGCTGGTCACTGTCTCTGTCACCTGGGCTAGGTCACTTAGCTTCCACACCTATCCAGTGAGGTACTTGGACCAACTACATACACTTCTGGGCTCCCCTCCCATTCAAATCTGTGATTCAAAGTCTTCTTCCCCCAATATTGAAACCTTGTGGATAAATGGGAATTCATTCTCTCATGGACAAGCCTTTCTAAAGTGTGGAACTATGGGCTAGGCATGGGAATGAAAGAAGAGACTATTTTCTGTTGCTTTCCATCGAGTTTATGGAATCACTTAGCATTTAGGATCTTTACATAAATGCTAATGAGGACTAAGATGTAACTGGAATACTTACCAAAGTGTCTGATAGGTGGGGGTTAGAAATCTGGGCTCCAGTTGCCACACTTTCTCCCTGGTTCTTTCTTCCTCTTCATTTGTTGCCTCATCAGCCTCACTTTCCCAGGGTCTCAAAAGCAAGACCCCCCCCATTCTGTAGGTCTTCAGCCCATCCCTCAAGGCTCAGCACAAGCTGAGATCATATCAAATATCAAAGGAAGGGCTGAGGCCAAGATGGAGAAATTTGAACAACCGAGCCGAGGTCCTCTGGTCCTCTAGCTCCATCATTCTTTCCATTGCCCCACTTTGCTGCCTCCTACACATGTAGGAATGTATAGAAGTCAGAGCCAATGAGGACACAGCCTTATCTCAGGCAAGAACCAGTGGAAGTCAACTGTTGCCTCCAATTCTTCAGAAAGTTAGCAGCAAGAGGTTCACCAATGGGAAACTGAGCAGGAGGAAGTGGGTGGGGGCAGGAAGACCCAAAGGGCCAGGTGCTTTCAGGAGGCACCAGTGAGGAAAGACAAGACATAGATTAAAAAGTCAAGGGAAGTGAAAGTCTGTGAAGTCATTCTGTTTGGGGAGAAATGAATGGAGTCAGGAGTCTCCCCTTCTCCCAGACCCTCGTGCCCCTTAGACTTGTTGTTGTTCAGTTGTTTTCAGTTTTGTCCAACTCTTTGTGACCTCATTTGGGGTTATCTTGGCAAAGATACCGAGTGGTTTGCCATTTCCAGATGAGGAAACTGAGGCAAACAGGGTTAAGTGACTTGCCCAGGGTCACACAATTAGGAAACGTCTGAGGCCAGATTTGAGCTCAGGAAGATAAGTCTTCTGAATTCCAGGCCAGGCATTCTATCCACTGCGCCACCTAGCTTCCCGTTTGATTCTATGTGACTCCATGGATATTGATTTTCTTGGCAAAGATACTGGAGTGGTTTGCCATTTCCTTCTCCAGGGTGTTCCCACTTAACAGGTGAGGAACTGAGGCAAATAAAGGTTAAGTGACTTGTCTAGAGTCACCCATCTAGTAAGTGTCTGAGGCTGCATTTGAATTCAGATCTTCCTGACTCTAGGCCCAGTGTTCTATCCACCACACCACCCAGTTGCCTCCTTAGACCTGAGGTGTCTCTAGTTCTCCATATCAATATCATTAAGAACAATTATTGACTGTGCTTTGGGATAAATACTAAGCTCGAGCTACTATATGAATTATTGCATATCTCGGGGGAGAATACACCTTGGGTTCCCCAGAAAAAACTTCCTCTGACCTCCATATCCTTCCCTCTTCTGCCAGAGAGTGACAGGAAGTGATTCTTGTAGCATTTCTTAACTTCATAAATTTCCCTCCAAAAACTCTGGAGGGAGAGAAAGGACACAATGTCTTGCATAAGCTGCAGTCTATTTTTTCATCCCAGACTCTTAAAATCTTGTTTCATTTGCAAGACACTGGCATTCCCCCGGCTTCTTCCCAGTCTCTTGACTCTAATACATACTGTGAACGTGAGCACCTGGTTACGCTTGAAGGAAAGGAGAGGGAGCTAGCAAAGTCCTAACCATGTCGTCCCTCTTTTTTTTTTTTTTGAGTAGAGAACATCTTGTTCTCTTACTTTTTTAAATTAATTTATTTTGAATTATCAACAATTACTTCCATAAGCTTTTGAGTTTAAAAGTTTTTTCCCACTCCCTCACAAGCTCCCTCCCCAAGACGGCACACAATCTGATATAGGCTATACATATACATTCCTATTAAACATTTTCACATTAGTAATGTTGTAAGTAAGAATTAGAACCAATAGGAGGACCCACCAGAAAGAGGAAACAAAACACAACAGAAGAAAAAAAAATAGCAAATATGCTTCGATCTGCATTCAAACTCCATAGCTCTTTCTTCTCTATGGATAGCATTTTCCATCATGAGGCCTTATGAGATGTCTTAGATCCTTGTATTGCTGAGAAAGGTTCAGTCTAGCAATATTAGTCATCGCACAATGTGGCTGTTACTATGTACAATGTTCTCCTGGTTCTGCTCACTTCACTCAGCATCAGACCATACAAGTCTTTCCAAGTTTTTCTGAAGTCAGCCTGTTCATCATTTCTTATAGCACAACAGTATGCCATTACATTTATATACCACAACTTGTTCAGCCATTCCCCAATTGATGGCATCCCTTCAATTTCCAATTCTTGGCCACCACAAAAAGAGCTGCTATGAATATTTTTGTGCATGTGGGTCCTTTTCCCATTTGTATGATCTCTTTGGGATATAGACCTAGAAGTGCTATTGCTGGGTCAAAGGGTATGCACATTTTTGTAGCCCTTTGGGCATAGTTCCAAACTGTTCTCCAAAATGGTTGGATCATTTCACAACTCCACCAACAATGCATTAGTGTTCCGATTTTCCCACATCTTCGCCAGCATTTATCATTTTCCTGTTTTGTCACATTGGCCAGTCTGATAGGTGTGATGTGGTACCTCAGAGTTGTTTTGATTTGCATTTCTCTAATCAATAGTGATCTAGAGCATTTTTTCCTATGACTATAGATGGCTTTAATTTCTTCATCTGAGAACTGCCTGTTCATATCCTTTGACCATTTATCAATTGGGGAATGGCTTGTATTCTTATAAATTTGACTTAATTCTCTATATATTTTATAAATGAGGCCCTTATCAGAGAGACTGGTTGTAAAAATTCTTTCCCAATTTTCCACCTTCCTTCTAATCTTGGTTGTATTGGCTTTGTTTGTCCAAAAACTTTTCAATTTAATGTAATCAAAGTTATCCATTTTGCTTTTCATAATGTTCTCTATCTCTTGTTTGGTCATGAATTCTTATGTTCTCCATAAATCTGATAGGTGAACTATTCCTTGCTCTCCCAGTTTGCTTACAGTATCAGCCTTTATATCTAAGTCCTGAACCCATTCTGACTTTATTTTGGTATATGGTGTGAGATTTGGGTCTATGCCTAGTTTCTGCCATACTCTTTTCCAGTTTTCCCAGCAGTTTTTGTCAAAGAGTGAGTAATTATCCCAGAAGCTGGGGTCTTTGGGTTTATCAAATAATAGATTACTAGAGTCATTGACTACTGTGTCTTGCATACTTAACCTATTCCACTGATCCACCATTCTATTTCTTAGCCAGTACCAAGCAGTTTTGATGATTGTTGCTTTATAATACAATTTAAGATCTGGAATGGCTGGTCCATCTTCCCCTGCATTTCTTTTCATTAGTTCCCTTGATATTCTGGACCTTTTGTTATTCCAAACATGTCATCCCTCTTAAGCCTTCCCTCTTCCTGTCTTCCACATAGATACCAACTTGTTTCAGCATTTAGTAGTTAGGGAATAGGCTTGCTGGTAGCTAATGACATTTCTCTTCTTGATATGAAGTTGTCTGATTTCTTTGGTACTCTAGCCCCAACCACTGACTTCCCTCCAGTCTCCAGTGAAGAGGTGGTTCCTGCCAAGGTCAAGGCCAAGGCCAATCTCTCTACTTGCTCTCTGGATGTCTTCTTATTCGGTCTCCTCTGGGAGCTTGCCTCTTAGATTATCCCCTCTTTCTTTCTTACCTTTAGTCTTTTTTGATGTGCTACTCTTCCTCTGATGCCTGCAAACATGCCCAGATCTCCCACATACTTAAAAATAACCTTCACTTGACTATAACATCCCCTCAAATTAGGGCTCTGTATCTCTCCCTTTCACAGCCAAAACCCTAGAAAAATCTGCCTACATGGATCACATCTCCTTCTTTGCTTCTTCTCCACACCTCACAATCTGATTTCCTCCCCCATCGCTCAGAGACACATCTTTCAAGGTTGCCAAAGCTACCTTCTCTTCCTGTGCCTAGCATACAGTAGGCAGTTGATAAATACTTGTTAAATTGAATTGTGATGCACTGATACTCCCTCTCATTTTCCCCCTAGATTTGCCATTCTCCCTGAGCCTTACAGTTCAGACCAACAGCCCTTTCCAATGGTTGTCTCCCTCCCATACTTGCCTTCCCTAACTCTTGCTCTCTACTGGCAGAGATTCCACATAAATCAATTCAGCATGTATTAAGTACCTACTTACCATGTATCAATTGTGTATTAGTTTCACAACATCATGCTTGCACAGATAATCAGTGATGCTTTCAAGCTTTCCCCGGTCACCAGTGGAGTAAAGCAAAGCTGTGTGCTTGCTCCCATGCTTTTTAACATGATGTTTTCAGCAGTGTTGTCAGACGCCTTCAATGAAGATGAAAACGGCATCAAGGTCAGCTACTACACTGATGGTAAATTATTTAACTTGAAAGACTACAAGCCAAGACCAAAGTGGAGGGAGAATTGGTGCATGATTTTTTGTTCACAGATGACTGTGCACTCAATGCAGCCTCTGACACTGAGATGCAACAAAGTATAGACTGATTCTGTACTTGTGCTTGTACTAATTTTGGCCTAACAATTAAGAAAAAGGAAACACAGGTGCTCCACCAGCCACTGCTGCTGCACCATCCATACTGGGAACCATTGGTTACAGCAAAGGGAGAGATTTCAAATGCTGTGAATAAGTTCACTTACCTTGGCAGTATACTTTCCAGGGGTGTACACATTGATAATGAGGTTGATGCACACATTGCCAGAGCTAGCTCAGTGTTTAGGAGGCTCCGAAGGAAAGTGTGGGAGAGAAGAAGTATTAGACTGACTACCAGAGTGAAGGTCTATGGAGCCATTGTGCTGACTTCAGTGTTGTATGCCTGTGAAACCTGGATGGTATACTAGTGCCATTCCAGAAAACCGAATCGCTTCCATTTGAATTATCTTGGGAAGATTCTGAAGATCACCTGGCAGGATAAGGTACCAGAAACTGAGGTCCTTTCTCCACCTAAACTGCGAAGCATTCAAACTCTACTGCAGAGAGTGCAACACTGATGGACTGGCCACGTTGTTCAAATGCCAAACGGACGTTTGCCTAAAAGACTGTTTTACGTAGAACTCACACAGGGCAGGCACTCACATGGTGGTCAGGAGAAGTGATACAAGGACATTGTCAAGGTCTCTCTGAAGAACTTTGGAATTGGTTGTGAGACATGGGAGACACAGGACCACCCAGCATGGCATGCCCTCATCAGAGAAGGCGCTGTGCTCTAGGAGTAAAACAATTACAGCAACTCAAAAGAAACAAGGTTTAGAGCCATCTCCACTGCAAATGTTCATGTGGACTGGTTGTGCTTGACCCGTGGCAGAGCCCTCCTGAGCTCTTAGTGACCTAATCAGCCGCAGTCAGACACACTGTACCTTGACCCCAGCATAGTAATGTCATTACAATCCTCTTCTAGCATGAAGGATAACAATGTCAGGCACTGTGCTAGGTGCTGGGGATTTGTTTTCGTCATGTCTGACTCTTCATGATTCCATGTGGGGTTTTCTTGGAAGAAATACTGAAGTAGTTTGCCATTTCCTTCTCCAGGTCATTTTACAGATAAGGAAACTGAGACAAACAGGGTGAAATGATTTGCCCACGGTCACACAGCTTGGAAGCGTCTGAGGCCAGATGAGATGAGTCTTCCTGATGCCAGGTCTGGCATTCTGTGCAGTATGGCACCACCTAGTGGCCGGGCTGAAGATGCAAAGCATTCCCTACCTTGGAGGAGCCTGCACTCTCTCTCTCTCCCAAGGGAAACAATGCAGACACAGTAAATACAAAATAAATACATGTACTGAGGGGAAGCCTTCCTGGCTAAGGGGCCAAGGAGGGCCTCATAGATGACCTGGCGTGGAGTATGCTTTAAAGAGGTAGAGGGGAGAATGGTGTGCACTCCAGGCATGAATGGGAGGTTGGGGGTCAGGGTAGATTGGATGGAAGAAGGCCGTGGGCTACAACGGGAAAATGAGCTGGCTTGGACTCAGAGAACTTGAGTTCAAATCCCACCTTCAGTGCTTACCACCTCTTGATCGTTGGGCCAAGCCAGTTAGTCAACTCTGGCCTCAGTTTCTGATGTCCAGCCCTTCATTCTATCTTCTCTCAGAGCCCAGTAGTTTTACCTTCTATTCCTTTACTTCCACCACCACCCCTATTCAAACCTCCTACATAAATTGGGGAAGGAAGAAAGACATCATTCTCAGTTACTCTCTCTACCAAGTTTATTTGTTTAATTTAGCTTTTATGATTTTACATAAATGTTAATGAGGATCTGGATTTCATTGGAGAAGCAGAAACTCACTGAAAAAATGAGTTGGGGAGCTGGGTTCTCTCCCACATCCCTGGAGGCTACAGGGGCACCAGGAGGGAACAGGTGGTACTGCCTATATGGAGCTAACCCTCCACCCAAGTCAGTGACAAACTCTAGAAATACCCTTTTTCCCAATACTAAGATACTGGACAGTTTTCCAGGTTGCTGTTCTTGTCTTTTTACCCCCCCTCAAAAGGCCCCAAAGCACCCTATTAATTATTCCACCCTGCCCCCTCCCAGAAATGGATGGAAACAATGGATTTTTGCCACAAGTGGGAATTGAGAAAAGATTCCTTTAAAAGCCGACTATGTCTGACCCCCTCAGATCAACACACTTTGGCTGGTCTGTGCCAAGTTATTCCTAAAATTATAGGAAAATTGTATCCCCAGTGGGCTCCTCCCTGCAAATTTCCCATCTCCCACCCACTTTACTCTATCCCATCCCTGCCCCTCTAGCCCTAGCAGTGCCTTCCTTTGCCAGAGAGCTCAGCTCGCCCTCTTATCCCCATCTTTCACTCCCACTCCATGGCCTTGACTCCGTGTTCCCTCTTTTAGCTATTGGACAGTTCCTTCTCCTGTCCTTTCCTTTGTATTCCTGACCCATTTTTTCCCCAAAGACCTGCAGCCTCCATCACACTCCTGAACAACCTGTGGAAGTCCCTCTGGAAGCCAGATGACGAGAAGTAGAAGACCAGGGGATCAACACAGGAGTTCAGGGTGCTGAGCAGCAGCACATACCCACGCCATCTGGGACTCTTGCCCTGGATATAGCCGACGATGTGGGATGCGTTGTACGGGCCAAAGCAGAGTAGAAAATTGAGCATGGTGGCCCCTAGCAGCCCTGCCACCCTTTTTCTCCTCTTCCAGCTGCCCCCCTTGCTCAGGATCCACACCATTCGACCATAGCAATAGCTGGCAATAACCAGCGGGACCCCAAAGAGGACCATGGCTATCTCGAGCCTGACAGGCAGCACAATGGCCAACTGGTTTTCCCTAAAATCCAGGTAGCAAGTCCGATTGGTTTCTTGCTTTTGGAAAGTGTCCCCCAAATGTTCAGTAACATAGACCACGCTGCAGTGGGCGCCTGCCAACAGCCAGCAGCCAATACTGACCAAGCCAGCCTGGCCAGCTCGTGGCTGCGTCTTATACCACAGAGGGTAGGCCACCCCCAGGAATCGCTCCACACTCACCGCTGTGAGGGTGAGGGAGGTAAGGTAGATGGTGGTAAAGAAAAGAAAGCCTGAAAGGGGGCATAAGATGAAGGGCAGAGGCCAGTACATGCTGCTTGCTGCCTCCACCATCCGGAAGGGCAGGAAAACTAGCAAGAGCACGTCAGAGATGGTCAGGTTGAGCAGAAGGACATCCACAGCCACAGGGCGACGCCTCAGTTTACCCACAAAGATAATCAGGGCCACCAGGTTGAGGGGAAGGCCAGTGAGGAAGGTGAAGAGGTAGACAGAGAAGTAGAGCCAGTGGCTGCCAGGGAAGTAGCCCTCAACTGCGTTCTTGTCCATGGTGGTGTCTGGTGGGGAGGGAAAGAAAAGGATTCAGAGTGGAAAAGCCTTCTGGGTAACAAATGGAATGCTGGACTTGGTATCAGGAAGACCGCTTAGAGCTGTGTGGCCAAGAACAAGTCACCCGACCTCTCTGTGCCTCAGTTTCCTTACATGTAAAACGAAGGGAAAGGACTCCCAAGTCCTTTCCCGATCTAAACCTATGATCCTACAGTGCTATGATCTTCTGTAGCTTCCGATCTCTCATCCCCCTCCCTACCTTCATGCTCCCTTCACTAGCCTTGTAAACTGTTTCTGTGAAAACTTACTTTTCTCTCCTCTCCTTCAAGGCATCAGAACGTGCTTTCTCTTTTTTTGCCCCTTCTCTGCTTCCCTTGATCCTTAGTCCTCCCAGCTGTCCAGGGTTGTCCCTCCTCCAGGGGCTCCCCTCGTGCTCCCCTACTCACCTTGCCCCAGCCTGTTCCTTTCCAGCATCCGAGTGTCCCCTCCCTCCACTAGGACTGTCAGAGCAGGCAGGGTGCTTAGCTACTTATCTCTTGGGTACCATAAACACTGAGCAGTGAGGTCACTGTTCAGTGGCAATACAAGAGGTACTTTATCTCTTAAACTGAGAGATGGAAATATGCAAACAGGCAGTCAAATTTCAGAGCTCGGAGTCTGAGCCCTCCTGGGGAGGGTGGAGAGACTTTGTCCATGGCCTGAATGGACTCCCCCAAGGGACACTTTTCAGGGGCTTAGGTCACAGATGCTCCCACCTGATTCTTGAAAAGAGCAGAAAACTTCAGACTTATTCCATTGTGCTCAGGTCCCCCTGCTCTCCAAGACCATTTCCCCTTGTCTTAGGGGATTGTTTCCCCTTGTCTCCCAGTAGTGGCCAAAGCATCTTACTCTTGCCACCATTATTTCTACCCTCTGGTGGCCACATGAGAGGACACCCTGTCTGGTGCATTTCCTCTCACTTTCTCATTTCTCCTGGAGGCTTTCTCCAGTGACACTTGTCCTCTCCCACCTTCCATCTTCTGCTTAGAGTTCACATTCCCAAGTCCTTCCTGAGGGCAGGGGCTATTAGGGCATGATAGCTATCTCGAGGTACTTGAGGGGCTGTCACGTGAAAGAGGGTCAACACCTGTTCCCCGTGGCTCTTCCAGGAGCGAGGAGTCAGGGAGGCAAAGAGGCAGACATAGATTCCAGAAAACAAGGAAGAAAACTTGCTAGAATTTAGAATTGTCTGAGTCTAGAGTCAGACCCTGAGAAGGTAAGAAGCATTCCCCCCCCACCCCACCCCTCACCCCCCGCCAGCTCTGGAGGCTGGATGATGGTGTGTTGAGGATGTCAGAGCTGATGCCCATTTGGGCCCCCTCAAAGGCTCCTGTCCTGGCTATGAGGCTGTGCCCACTCCTCACCTCCTCCCTCCCCCCAAAGTGTTTCTGTGCATGTCTGAGGTGAATGAGAAAGGACCAAGGGGTAACAGTCAAATGGTCTCAAGGGAGGAGGTTACCTCTTGTTTTGTTGTTGTTTTTGTTTTTGGCTAGGCAGTGGGGTTAAGTGACTTGCTCAGGGACACACAGCTAGTAGGTGTTATATGTCTGAGGCTGGATTTGAACTCAGGTCCTCCTGACTCCAGGGCCAGTGCTCTATCCACTGCACCACCTAGCTGCCCCCAAGGTTACCTCTTTCCATGCCAGGCTCTTCTCCCGTTTGTCAGGTTCTGCCTCCTCCATGGGCTCTTCGTGATTTGAAAGGAGGCTGAAGCTCAATCCCCGGTGGGACGGGCAGAGAATAGCCAGCAGGCGAGTCCCCTTGAGGCTGAGCTGTGGTCCCTGCTGGCCTGGTGCCTCAGGACCTGGGAGCTCCCTCTGGCCTTGAGGAGATGCCCAGGACCCTCTGGTCCCATACCCCTGCTGCCCAGAGGCTGTTATTTCTGGGATGTCCCACCTTGAGTCCCTACGGTACCACGCCTCCGGCCGGCCTTGTTCCCTAAGTACCCGGACACCAGTGGGTTGAGCACAGAGCTCCAGGACCCCATGATCAACCCGAGCTTCCTCCAGTGGTTGCCAGCCTCTGGTCTCACAAAGCAGGCCATGTGGGAAGTATTGTAAGGCCCCAGGCAGAGCAGCAGAGTGAGCAGCGTGCCTCCGGCCACACGGGCAGCATGTCGCTTCCGGCTCCGGCTCAGGCCTGAGCAGGCCAAGGCCCGCAGGCAGCCCACGTAGCAAAAGGTAGCGATGGACAAAGGAAGGAAAAAGAGCAGAAGCGAAATACTGAGATGAGCAGGGCCAGCCCATGTTGGCTCCCAGGCTTCCAAACAGATGAGGGAGCCATTGACTGGAACAGTCATTCCCAGGGATGTGGTTATGTTCTCCTGGCCTTCCTGACTTTCCAGTACAAACACCAGCCCCAAGTGGAAAAAGACCAGTCCCCAGATCCCCACACAAACACCCCAGGAATAACAGGGCCTCCGCGTGGCTTGGTATCCCAATGGGAAGGCCGCTCCGAGGTAACGGCCAACACTGAGGGCGGCCAGAAGAATACCCCCAGCATAAAGTGGGACAAAATGTATCAAGGCAAATGCTGGGCAGAGTGAGGCTGGGAGAGGCCAGGCTCCCCCTGCCAGGGCTTCGGCTGCCTTCAGGGGTAGGGAGGCAGTCAGCAGCAGGTCAGAACAGGCCAGATGGAGGGTGTAGATGAGGCTCAGGGTAAGGCGGAGCCGTGCATGGGACACAGCCTCAATGAGGAGGATGACATTGAGAGGAAGGCCCAGTGTAAAGGCAGCAACATAGAGGGCAAAGGACAGTTCCAGCGGGATGTCCATGAGGCTGAGAAGCGGGAGCATGGGGTCCTGGGGGCCTCTCCTCCACCAGCCCTTCTTGTGTGACCTGGGGAACCACTCACACTCTCTGGGCCTTAGCGTGTGGTCTTTAAAATGAAGAGAACGATCCATGTGTCAGGATCAAACGGGCCCCCAGAATTCCAAGTCAAAGTACTTGTAGAAGTACAAAGTGCAGTTATTTCTTAATGATCTCAGGTAATGCAGGCAGAAGCTAAGGATGGCTCACAGTCAGAGGCGTAGACACATAGCCAGCAGCTTCCCCTGAGTGGAGCCCCAACCCCCAACCGACTCAATCTCTTGGCAGCTGGCTGAGCCGTAAACAGAGAGGAGGTGGGTGCTGATACTCACCTGGGCCATTGGGAGAGCAGGTACTGGGAGGCAATTGTGTTGCCCAGAGGACAGTGGGAAAGTGGAGGAGAGCGACTCTGGAAACAAAGGTAGAGTTGTAAGAGGGTCGTGTAGGTACCTCTGGGAAACAGGGAGAGGTGACCAGGAAAAACGGGAGTGGGCCCAGGTAAGGGGAAACTAGGTGCTGAGAAGAGAGAGGAATGACCTCTGGGCATGTCCTGAGGAGTAACAGAGATTAGGGGACAGGGAGGGTGAGGGAAAAGGGTAGGAGGGAGGAGGCCCCGATGGGGAACAAGGGCCCCCGAGCTCCTGCTGGGGAATGCTGAGTTTGGAAGGGGGGCAGAAAGAAAGCACTCACCTTCTCGAAGCTGCTAGATGTCTCTGAGCCTTGAGGATCAACCCTCAGGGGCTGAAGTTGGTCAGAGAGCCAAGAGGCAAGAGCAGAGGGAGGGGTGGTCAGGGCCATAAACTAAAGGCGACCCTGCAGCCTGAGTGAGCAGCTAATGGGGCATCAGCTGGGGGGAGGGGAGAAGCAGCCAAGGGAGAGGGCTTGGAACCTGAGGGCCCAGTGCCTCGAGCCTAGCAGGAGAGTGGACTATGGCCCGACTCCTGGCTTCTAGGTGGGCCACAGAGTGTTTGTGGGGAAAGCAGGGGACTAGGAAGAACGACAGTTGAACTCTCATCTAGGTGGAAAGGAGACCTTGGGAGGGGGTCAAAGCCGGAAGGCAGAGGGAGCTCGGTTAGGAGCTGAGCGGGGGGCTGTCCATATTTGCCAAACCCCCTGGCCTCTCTCAACATGAGTCATTCTGGCTTCTCCTCATGCCTCAGTGGCTCTTGTCTACAGCCACACCACCCAGTCAATTAGCCATGAAGCAGCCTTATGTCAATAGGGCAGGAGATGGGATCGGAAGGCAACCACTGGTTGCTGGGGAAACTCTTGGTCTCATGAATAGTCCCCCTAGGAATTGCTTTCCTCTTTTCAGATGTAGCCCTACTTTCAACCTATTCACTCATGCCCTGACTGTGCTCCATAAAGACCTATCTTTTCCCTGTTATTTTAAAAATCTTGCCTTCCCCAGAAGCTTTCTAAAGAAATCAGATGGGACTACCAAAAAAAATTATTTTATAGAACTAGAAAAAATAATAAAATTCATCTAGAAGAACAAAAGGTTCAGAATATCAAGGGAATTAATGAAAAGAAATGCAAGGGAAGGTGGCCTAGCCATTCCAAGTCTTAAATTGTATTATAAAGGAGCAATCATCAAACCTACTTGGTACTGGCTAATAAATAGAGCAGTGGATCAGTGAAATAGGTTAAGTATGCAAGACACAGTAGTCAATGACTGTAGTAATCTGCTTTTTGATAAATGCAGAGACTCCAGCTTCTGGGATAAGAAACCACTCTTTGAAAAAAACTGCTGGGAAAACTAGAAAAGAGTATGGCAGAAACTAGGCACAGACCAACATCTTACACTATATACCAAGATAAAGTCAAAATGGGCACAGGATTTAGGCATAAAGGGTGTTACTATAAACAAATTAGAAGACCGAGGAATAGTTTATCTGTTAGATCTATGGAGAACAAAGGAATTTGTGACCAAAAAAGAGATAGAGAACATTATGAAATGCAAAATGGATCGTTTTGATTACATTAAATTGAAAAGTTTTTGCACAAAGCCAATGCAACCAAAATTAGAAGCAAACCAGAAAGCTGGGAAACAATTTTTATAGCCAATATCTCTGACAAAGGCCTCATTTCCAAAATATATTGAGAACTGAGTCAAATTTATAAGAATACAAGTCATTCCCCAATTGATAAATGGTCAAAGGATATGAACAGGCAGTTCTCAGATGAAGAAATTAAAGCCATCTATAGTCGTATGGAAAAATGTCCTCTATCACTATTGATTAGAGAAATGCAAATCAAAATAACTCTGAGGTACCACATCACACCTATCAGATTGGCCAACATGACAAAACAGGAAAATTGTAAGTGTTGGAGAAGATGTGAGAAAAGTGGACCACTAATGCACTGCTGGTAGAGCTGTAAACTGATCCAACCATTTTGGAGAACAATTTGGAACTATGCCCAAAGGGCTATAAAATTGTGCATATCCTTTGATCCAGCAATAGCACTTCTAGGGCTGTATCCCAAAGAGATCAAACAAATAGGAAAAGGACCCACATGTACAAAAATATTCATAGCAGCTCTTTTTGTGGTGCCCAAGAATTGGAAATTGAGGGGATGCCCGTCAATTGGGGAATGGCTGAACAAACTGTGGTATATGAATATAATAAAATACTTGTTCCATAAGAAATGATGGGCAGGCAAGACTTCAGAAAAACCTGGAAAGACTTGCATGAATTGATGCTGAGTGAAGTGAGCAGAGCCAGGAGAACATTGTACAGTAATAGCAACATTGTGCAATGACCAACTTTGATAGACTTAGCTCATCTCAGCAATGCAAGGATCTAAGACATCTCCAAAAGACTCATGATGGAAAATGCTATCCACATCCAGAGAAAGAACTATGGAGTCTGAATGCAGATCAAAGCATGCTATTTTTCCTTTTTTGTTTTTTGTTTGGTTTTTTCCTTTCCTGTGGCTTTTCCCTTTGGTTCTAATTCTTCTTTATAACATGACTAATGTGGAAATATGTTTATGATTGTATATGTATAGCCTATATCAGAATCCACACCCTCTTTGGGAGGGGAGAGGGTAAGGAAGAGGAGAAAATTTAAAACTCAAAATCTTATAAAAGTGCATGTTGAAAACTAAAAATAAATAAATGAAGATTAAAAAAAAAAGAAATGATTTGGGGAAGTCATTGGTGGTATCTCTGAGGCAGGAATCAGCCTGACAAACCTTTACTTTCTCCCCCACTGCCCCTCTCCTTCGATATAAAATATTTCTGGAGTGATCAGGGAAGAGCTGATGCTTCCGGACCTGGGCTGAGAGCAGGTCAGCTCTCCGGCTGCACGTCCTCCCCATGGGACATTTTGGCCCACCTTCTCTGACCTCTCCTGGTCCTGGGCTAATAGAGACGATGGCCCCCATCTCTCCTCTCTGGGCCTAGCTTGTCACTCCTGAGGGCCCTCCAACCCTGGTGCCCCTTTCCTAGGGCTCATCTTAACCCACCACTGTGACTCTTTCTCCTGCCCTTTTTATTCCATCTGCTCCTCTAAATAGCTCTGAGGTCAGGGCCCACACTGGCCTAAGGCAAGTAGGCTGCAGTGGATAGAATGTCAGGCCTGGAGTCAGGAAGACCTGAGTTCAAATCTGACCTCAGACACTTACAAACTGTGCGACAAGACACTTAACCCTATTTGCCTCAGTTCCCTCATCTGTAAAAGGGGGTATAATAATAGCACTTACCCCACAGAGGTGTGGTGAGGCTCAGGTGAGGTACCGATTGAAATAATCACACATAGTAAGTGGTATGTAAATGTTGGCTCTTAGCACCACGTGTGGGATAGGTCACCTCCTCTACTGGCTCAATCTGCACCCAGCTGGGGTGAACTGGTTCCCCTTCCCCTCCAAACACACACAGGCACACGCACACACACACTCACACTCTGAATGAATTTCTCCAGAATTACTATGATGGCTTCTCCTGTCTTTGACAATCTGGCCATGAAATGTCCAGGGCTGTTGTCTTGGCTCCCCACCCCTGTGACCTCTACTGTGTTTCCTTTCCCCTCCATCCCCAAATGCATTGACCCATATAGAATGAAAATAGCTCACTGGCCATGCGTGTTTTTATTTCTATCTCAGAAGTACCATTCCCCTAATCTCTCCCATCAGCTGGGGCAGGAGCTGGGTGATTAGAAACTGAATGAAGGCTTTAGGGAAGGGGCTGACAGGGAGAACTCAGCTCCCCTTAGCAGTCACTGCCCATTTCCATGCCCATGCACACTCTGGATCCTCCCTTTGACATGGAGCCTTCGTGGCACATGGAAGCTAGGGTGGGGTTTGGGATTCAGCTAGGGAGAGGAAGAAAGACTAGACAAGAATGGGGTGGGAAGGGCTTGAGTCTACATATGTGAAAGGGAAGGGAGGGTTGGAGCATGTGATCTGTGCGCACACACACGTGGATAGGTAGGAAGGACACGGACCAGACACAGACTTTTGAAAGTATAGCACTGTCAGGGCACAGAAGGAAGGGACCACAGTGGAGGTGCCAGAAGGCCTTCTCCTAAGTCCTGGGTAGAAACTTCACAGCATTAATTGCAGGATAGGGTATGGCGGACCACTGAGCAGCTGATCAGATGGACCCGGGCCTGGGCACCAGTCACTAATTCATTTAGGTTGGCCCCACAAGAGGCTGTCCAGGCATGAGACTTCTTTATCTCCATGGTCAATGTTTCAGAGTCACATACTCCACCCCTTCCTGCACGGGGTGCCTCCCTGGCTCCCCAAAATGAATCAGTTCAGAGTAATGTAACCCTTCATCTTCTGGAGGAGCCTGAGGCATCACATTCTCATAATCACCCTGGGGAGAAAAGAGAGGCCAGTGAAAGTCCTTAGTCATCTTCCCAGCCCCCTGTTGTCTATTGTCACATCTCCGTCTTCCTCCTCGGTTTCGCTCTCTGCCCTCCCTGTGTCCTCAATTAGCTTCTTCATTTCTGATGGGAGAATCTTCTGGTGAGAGAAGGAGCGAGGGAGAATAACCACCTTCTGAGCTTTGAAGCTGAAGGATTCTGGGATGTGTGGTCCAGGCTTTGACTCGGCCTCTGCCCAGCAGCACCTCACTCAATTTAAGCCAGTTTCACGCTTTCTCCACCCTCCTCAACATCCCTGCCTCCTTACCCCATGGGGTTTCTGCAGCACAGAATAGGTGACGCTTTGATCCTCAGTTTGAAGACTGACTGGCGAGGTCTCCAGATACCTAGGTGACCTGACAAATGAAAGCAGGTGTAAAGAGACAGCCCGTTTGCCTCCAGCCCCCTCCCAGCCCTTTGAACCCATGGCCTCACTCACCTAACAGGCCTCTGCCCAGCCTTGCAGGCCAGGGTCCACCTAACTCTCCCTGATGGTCTCTAATCTCTAATCCTGACATTCACCCTCTTATTCTCTCTGCCTTTCCTCCTCCTCCTTCCCCCATCACATCCTTGTTTTTATTTCAAGTTAAGCCCCCAACTCCCCAAGCTTCCAGCTCTGCCTTCTCTAGCCCCACCCAAATATCCTTCCTCTTCCCCTCCCTCCCCAGTGCCCAGCTCCTGGCACTCACAGAGCCCTGTCAGGAAACTGCAAGGTAGCATAATCGATCCTCCCCTCCAGTGCAGGATTGTAATATCCCAAGGACTGGGGAGCTGCTGTGGCGTGGGGCCTCCTCGTCTGAGAAAGAAATGAGGCTTCATCCCCAGCCCTTCTCCCGTCCCTCCCCCAACCCTTGACTCCCCCGGAGTCTGCCCCCTCCCTCTAACCAGGGTCTCCCCACAACATCACCAAGCACCACTTGCACTGGTGCCACGTTCTATAGTCACAAAGCATTTTGAACATACTCTTAAAGTCTGTTCCCCACATCAGCCCTGTGAGGTTAGTAATACAAATACTCTTATCCACGTTTGACAGATTCAGAAGCCAAGGCTAAGTGGCTCAGTGAAAACTGAGGCCTGAACTCAGGTCTTCGGACCCTAAGCTTCCCCATACTTGGCTGCCTCCAGTACTGCCCTGTCATGCCTCCTGTTCTCATACTAGCTCCCAGGACAGTCTTCCCTCGGTCCCCTTGTCCTTACTCCCTACCTTCTTCTTTCTGATAAAGAAAGAGCCCTGTATGCCGGGCCTGTCCTGAATATCCTCCTCTCTTCTGATCTTCTTCCAGCTGTAGGGCAAATGAGTATGAAGAGGTGAGAGGTGAATCCCAGGACCCAGAACACATGGGGCCTGGGAGTTTAGCCAAGCGCTAGGATTGGGTGGACACAAAAGAGACCCCAGGGCAGCTAGGTGGTGCAGTGGATAGAGCACCAGGCCCAAAGTCAGAAGGACCTGAGTTCAAATCTGGCCTCAGACCAAACACTGGACGCTTACTAGCTGTGTGACCCTGGGCAATTCACTTAACCCCAATTGCCTAAAACACACACACACACACACACACACACACACACACACACACACACAAAAGAGACCCCGAAGGGAAGCTCACCATCGGACAAACTGGAACCCCATCAGGACCAGGAAGAGGACAGCCAGGCATACCCCAAACCCCAAAGCAGTTCGCTTGCCAATGGTCTCTGGGCTGTCTGGAGAAGGAAGGAAAGAGTTTTGTGGAAGCAGCTGGCTGATCATTGACCTCTGCCACAGGCCTGCTTTCTCATTTGTCCTATCTCTGGCTGCTCCATCAGTCAGCCATCCTTGTTCTCTGCCCGCAGCACCCTAGACTGGAGGGGCTATCTTCAGAAGGGAGACAGAGCACCTCTGCCTATGTGGAGCCCCTGGCCTACTGGGGAGACTGAGTCCTTCCCTTTGGGGGGCTACAGTATGTGGGAATGGAGGCCACAGGACATACACAGGGGACAGTTCACCAATATGGCAAAATAACAAGTTCAAACTGAATTCTTGAGGCCAAGGGAATCCACCCTGAGGGAGGGCAGTTAGGAGGTGGGATTCACCCGGACAAGCTTCTTGGGAGAAGCTGAGCTCTGAGGCAGGTTTCGGAAGGAAGGGTAAGACACGGACCAAATGGGGTACACTACCCTGGGGCAGGCAAATGGCCTTTAGGAAAGCTTAGCGGGAGGGAGAAGCAGAAGCAGAACTTGGCTGGATCCAGGGATTTGGTGAGGAATAATAAAGGAAGAGGCAGGAAGCAGGATGGTGTGGGCAGGGGGGCCCTAGAGTACCAGGATGAGGAGCAGGGTTATCCCTCGGGGCGAGAATAGGGATGGGAACATAAGGTGGAGGAGGCCTTACAATAGACAGTGAGAGTGGCAGGACCCGACTTCCCCGTGCCCAGTTTGTTGGTCCCTTGGCACCAATAGGCCCCGGACTGGTGGGTCATCACTGGCCACAGGGTCAGCTTCTGACCATATTTATCAATCTTTTGCCCCTTCCAGTCAAACCAGGTGTAAAAGTCAATGGCTGGATTAGCATCAGCCTCACAGGTCAGGATCACACTTGTCTTCTCCATCACCACGTCTCCTGGGACGATGGACACTCGAAGGTGTCTGGGGGCATCTGCAGGGAACGGGAGAGTCAAGAACCCAGATGCCCAATCCCTACTCTCCCTCCCAGGCCCAAAGAATTGTACTTGGCCCTCTCCTGGCCCTTCTAGGCTTATTCATCTGATGCCCCCAGCCCTGCCACTCACACTGAACTTTCAGGTCCCATTCCTGAGACTTGGTTTGTCCAATAGAGTTGGTAACAGAACAGCTGTAGAGTGCAGAGTCTTCTGGGGAGATGGAGCTCCAATTCAGGTCCCTCCCTTCATGGAAGTGCTTCCCATTTTGAGTCCAGGAATAATGAACATTTCTGGGGCGACTGGAGCTGAAGTCACATCGAAGTTGGACTTGGTCTCCAGACCGGATGTCAGATTTGGGAGTTGCCAGAATGATTTTAACATCTCTTGGGGCATCTAGGGAGAGAACTCACTGCTAGGTTAACCTGGGTCCCAGGTGGCTTGTCTTCTCAGCCCTCCCAGGACCCAGGCTTCCTGACCGTCTTCTCTCAGGCCTCCCTTCCAGACTCTACTCTCCTTCAAGGACCCAGCCTTCCATTCCTCCCACCCCCACACACCACCCTGGTGAGTCATCCTGATGCCCAACTCTCCTTTCAAGCCCTTAGACATGTTGGTCTCACCCCTCACTCCCCCTTTCAGAGCTCCCTTGGGCAGCTCTCCCTCGCAGCCCCCAGGCCTCTTCTTCTCACACTTCCCTGTCCTCTTACATTGTACGTCCAGGTAGACAGGGGCTGCTTGGGAACATTCAATGTTGCAGGCCGAGCAGGTGACTGACTCAGCATTCCAGGGGATGCTCTGGATGGTAACATTGGCAGAGTATCCGACTTTTTGAAATAACTGTGGCCTCCATAGGTAACTTTTGACGGCAGGGTTACTTTGTTTGTAGGAACAGGAGAGGGTCACAGAGTCCCCTTCCCGGATTGGCATCTGGCTGCTGATAATCACGGTCACTCCAGTGGGGGGATCTGGGAGAGAAGCAGAAAATGTAGCAACAAGTGTCTGCTCATCCCACCTGTCTATCAAACCCTCCCTTCCACTCTACCTCTTCTCCCGCTATTCTCTTCTTTCCCCCTATCATTTCTAGAACTCTTGAACTTACCAGAAGAGGGCTGATGACCTTGCTTAGATGTTCAAGAGGAAAAGGGCAGAAATCCCTCCAGCCACAATTGCATCTAGGGTTTTGTTCTGCCCTCTATTCGCTTCCTCAGAGTATGAACTATGCCTATGGAATTTATTCTAGCCCAATGCAAGATATAGCACTTTCTAGCTACATGAACATGGGTAAATCACATAATGTCTCCAAGCCTCCGTTTCTTCATCTGTAAAATGGGCATGTATTTTCCTTATACTTTCCTCACAATGACTGTTGAGAGTATTAAAGGTATTCTGTAAACCATGAAAAGCTCTTTAATGCCAACTATCATATGAAGTCGTGTTTTACTGAAGGCTTGGTGATAATGGCAGTGAGGTGTCCTTCACTCACTTCCCTGCCCGGGACTAGTTCCGCACCCAGCTCCTTGTTCATCCCCAAGCCCCTCGCATCTTTGCCCGGGCCGAGTGTTGTACGGCCAGCTTACACTGCACGTCCAGCCTAGCCCTCTCGCTGACTTTGCCCTGGCCCTCGCTGTTCTCAGCCAGGCAGCTGTACAGGCCACTTTGCTGCCGGTTGACGCCCTGGAAACTGAGATTCTGTTTTGTCTCTCCCAGCAACAGCTTCTCATCTTGATACCAGGTATAGCTGGTTGGAGGAGGGGAGGCAACGGTCGCACACATCAGCTCCACAGTCCTGTTCTCTCTCACACTGATGTCAGCAGGGAGAACCCTGGAAAGCTTGGGGGAATCTGGAGGGAGAGGACAGAAGCTGGCATGAGGTCGGTGGGGTGAGTCCACTGACCAGCAAATAATCTGGAGAACGTCTGGTTTTGCTCTTGTCCCAGTCCATTTTTCCATCTCTCCCCCTCAAACATCCGCCCCCTGCCCCTCCTCTTCCACATAGCCAAAAGAAAAAAACCCAAGCCAACAAACAAAAAACAATAAACCGTTCCGAAGCAGCTCTTGTCTCTCCTCCATTCCCCAAATTACTCCAAAGGCTCTCTGACCCCTCCCTCATTCCCCAACCCCATGCTCAGCTCACATAGGACTTGCAGGTGCACCGGCTCTGATCTCCCCCGGCCCATTTCGTTGTCTGCCTCACAATGGTAATTTCCAGCCTGTTGCCAATTCACTTCGGACAAAGTCAGAATTTCGTCCTGATTCTGCACATTCTCTTTATCCTTGAACCAGAGGAAGCTGCCTTGGACCTTGGGGTTGCTGCTTCGAACCATACACCTCAGAGTCACTGATCCTTCCTCCTTCACTTCTAGGTGGGGACTGGCCTCGATGGTTATCTTTGGGGTATCTGGAAAGGCAGAGAGTAAATCAGATGAAAAGAGCTTCTGTCAGAGAGCTGGAGGGAAAGGATTCATTGGGAGGATTCAAAGGGCTGGGATTCCAGAACCCTACAGGAGCAATCCATCCAGTCTACGTGGTCACACGTCACTTAGGGATGGAGAGGGTGCTGTGCCGTGCGCACCTGAAAAAATTTTCAGTGTGTTTAGAAATCTAGCTTCACTTTTCAGATGAGGAGACTGAGGGTCAGGGAGAGGAAGCCGCTTGCCCGAGGTAGCCCAGGTATTCAGCCCCAGCATCAAGACTCGAACCCCTGTCTCAATTGCTTTTAAGATTCCCCGGACCAAGCTGCTCCTCAGAACCTGTAGCTTCCAGGAAAGAAGGCTCATCAGCTTAAGCTGAGCTTCCTGGACCCCTGGACTCTCCTTTCTTGGGAGCCCCAAGTTGTGCTGTCTCATTTACTTCTCCTTGTATACATGTGTCATCCCAGTAGAATGGAAGCTTCTTGAGGGCAAGAACTCTGTCCTTTCTCTATCTGTATCTCTATTGCTCAGACAGTTGATTCAAACCCGTTAATACGCATTTATCAACCACTTACTATGTGTGTGCCAGGCTCTGTACTAAGTGCCTAGGACACGAAGACAGGGAAAATCACCGTCCCTGCTCTCAAGGTGATCACATTCTAGTGGAGGATACCACAGGCAAACAATTGTGCCCATACAAATATATACGGGGCAAATGGGAGATAATCTTAGTGGGAAACCACTAGTTGTGGGGCAGCCTGGGAAAGAAAGGCCTCTTACAGGAGGTGGGATTTTAGCAGAGAAGGAAGCCAAGAGAGCCGTTAGACAGGCTTCCAAGCTCAGGAGGCAGGCGGTGCAAACCAGGTGGAGGAGAGATGGAGTGTCAGGGTGAGGAATGGATGAGACTTCATTGACCTGAACTGAACTGCATTCTATCGTCTATTTACCTTCAGTTCTGCCAGCCTGAAGCTGATGTTAAAATAAATCTGTGGTCTCTGAGTTCAGCCACAGAGGGAAGACGAAGCGGATCTCCGGGATCCTGGTGTCTGTGTGTCAGGGGAGGGAGTGGAATGGGGGGAAGGCAGGAGGAAACTCCAGTGGGATCCCCCATTGCTTCGATGTAGGTGATTGAGGTGTTCTTCCCCTTCTCTCTGGGCAGGCCCCGAGTGAAGATATTTGGGCTTATGGCCATGAGAATAGTAGCAAAGCTCTCTCACAGGTAGGGAGCAGGGGACCCACAATTCACGCTGAGGAGACTCACGCTTCACATCGAGCCACACGATCTTCTCAGACAGACGCTGCTCGTCGGTGTGCCACACTTGGCAAGACAGCTTCTTGCCGTGGTGAGTCCAGCTGGGCCTGAATCTGAATTTGCTCTCCGTCAAGACCTTCTCGGTTTGGACAATGGAGTTCTCGACCTGAGCCGGAACCTTCTGCCCGTCCAGAAACCAGAGCAAGCTCACGGGGTAGCCAGGACAGGAGTAGTTCAGACAGCAGGTCACGGTTACCTCCTGGAGCTCTTGGAGCCGCGGGGGGAGCTGAATGTGCGGCTGAGGCGCAGACTCTGAGGGAGAAAAGGAAGGAGGGGCTAGGACAGAGGAGGAAGGCGGGGTGGGAGAAAGGGACCCTCAGCCTGGGGATTTTCTCAGTCTGCTTCAGGACATCTCCCCGTAGCGCTGCCTGACTCCAACCACCCCTCTGCCCCGCGGCGCCTCTGCTGGGAGCCTGCGGTCTGCACTGTGGAAACGCTCACTGCTTAGGGGTTGCTTTGTAAGGATTCATAGCAGTCGTAGTATCAGCAATAATAACAGTAGTAGTAATGATAATTGTGACAGTAATGATAAGTAGGAGGAACAGTACTCAAAGAAACTCTTCCCATTTCTGTCATGCTTTTAAAGTTGGCGAGACACTTTGGTCACAAGAGCCCCAGGGGTGGGGAGGGGTGGGTAATGCAAGGAACTGCCCCTGCCCAAGTTGTTGGTACTCCTTTCTCCCCCTTTAGAAATTATTTTTTGGGGCAGCTAGGTGGCACAGTGGATAGAGCTCAGGCCTTAAAGTCAGGAGGACCTGAGTTCAAATCTGGCCTCAGACACTTAACGTTTAGTAGCTGTGTGACCCTGGGCAAGTCACTTAACCCTTGATTGCCTCACCCCCCCAAAAAAAGTGAACAGTACCTGTCCTCATGGAGCTTACATGTACATGAACATGTACAAAGATAAAAAATAATTTTGTTTTTCTTTTTGATGAGACAGTTGGGGTTAAGTGACTTGCCCAGAGTCACACAGCTAGAAGTGTCTGAGGCAAGATTTGAAATCAGGTCCTCCTGACTCCAGGGCCGGAGCTCTATCTACTGTGCCACCTAGCGGCCTGACTGTTAACTTTTCTTTGTATCCCTCTTGCACAGTGCCAAATACACAGTAAGTGCTTAATAAAGGATCGTTGAATTGGAATGAGTATTGTGCCCACCTTCTAGAGTGGGGTGTTCTCGCTATCCTTGCTTATCTATCTAACTGAGAATTCTCCAAGGGCAGGGACTCTATCCCCCATAGGACCATGGGCTGCCCTAGGTCTGAGGACCTGCCTCTTCTCTCAGGCCAACAGCTCCTTGAGACCAGGAGCTGGGTCATCGCCTCCTTTTGTGCCTCTCTGCCAGGACCCAGCACAGAACAGCTCCTGCTTCGAGCAAATCCTGGCATGCTTTGCTCAGGGAGTGGGGGCCATGACCAATGTGCCTGGGCGTGGGGGGAATGCCGTTTTTCCCCTTCCTCCGGCTCCTCACCAGTGATGTTGAGTTGCACATAGGCTATCCACTTGTCTTCCTGGGTCATTATCCTCAGCCCCAGTTTCCCACTGTCGGAGACCTGCACCGGATGGAGGAGCAGGCTGCAGTCCTCTTTGCTCAGCTCTCCCAGAAACTGTGTCCTTTCATTTTTACTGGATTTGAACATGTCAAAGAGGACGGTCCCATGGAACCTCTCTTCCTTGTTATCGTACTGCGGATTGTGGTACCAGATAAAGTGATTTGGTGTTTGGATGCTGTTGATGATCTTGTAGGTGCAGGGGATCTGGACACAGGTGCCTTCCCAAGCATAGAGGACCTCTGGTCGCCTGACATCTATACGACAAAGACCCAGAACCAGGAATCCTGGGCCCCACAAAAGGCAGGCAGGAGAGAGAGGGAGGGAAGGGGGTCAAGGGAGAAAACAGATAACGAGACAGAAAGAACACAAAACAGTTACACGAAGACTAGACTGCAAGGGGAAACCACACACGTACACACACACACACACACACACACACAAGCAGAGCCCTTGGAGAAAGAGGAAGAGTGGGAGAGGCACAGTTTCCCCGGTGGGCTCTCCTGTGAAGACAGCTTCTCCCACCACCTCCTCCACATGGTCCTCTTACCTAAAACCTCCCTCCCTCCTCAACTCCTGCTCCCAGGTACTAGCAACAGTCCTTACCAACAGCCAGAAATGAAAGGTGAAGGAGGCTCATGATGGCACCTCGGACCTGCTCAGAATTTCTGAAAAGGGAAAATCAGTTCTCGGGTCAGTCAAGTAAGTCACTCATTTCTCCAGCATGCGCTCCTTGGCTGCTCCTGTCCGCCTCTGACCATTGCTTTCCTCCTGAGCCCCCTTCGCACTTATGTGCCTGCAGCCCCACTGTTCCTCTTTGTGGTTGTGGAGCTGTTTGGGTTCATCACACCTTTGAATGTCTGAGGGGGCATGCCCGTTTATAGCCGTGTTTCTATATCTCGTTTCCCTTTTGAGTTTGGGAGTCAGGGAAAAGACTCCTCCTGTTTTCTCTCTCTGTCATGACATTTGGCCTAAAATTCTGCACAGGGAAAATTCATTCCAGGGTATTGACTTACTAGGTCCAAGAGATGAGACAGTGAAGCCATGATGAGGAGGCCCACCACCCCCACCCCACCCCAACATCTATTTCACTTTCTGAATGCATACATGTTGCCTCTCTTGTCCCCAGTTATGATTAACATTTGCATAAAGTTAAATTTGTCTCTATTTACATGGCAAGCGCCTTTAGCATGGCCCCTTGGGGAATGACCAGGATGTGGTGATAGAGTGTGTCTCCTGTCACATCAGATTCACTCCTGTCTCCACCCTGTTTGCCCTTGCTCCCCTCCTAAAGCTTGTTAAAAAAAAAAAAAGGAGCTGGTATGGGACAGGTACTGGAGTAAAGTAAACTGGAAGCTGGAAGCTGGAAACTGCCCAGTAGGCTTCTGGGGCAAGACTATGCTTTGGGACAAATAGAACTCAAAAAGCTAGAAGTGGAAAGAGATTCCCTAGAGAAGCTGGATACGACCAAATCTTACTGCTCCCAGGGCTCCCACAGCGGCCTGAACCCAGGGATAAATGGGTCCATACCACAGTAATGATTATAGTTCTCAATCACCAGGCCCAACCTCATCCAGCATATGCCATCCAGTTCCCCAAAGTCCTCAGCCCTGGGCCAGGTCCACTCCTGCCTTACCCTGATCACGAACCTGGCTCAGGACTCCAGGGTGAGAAGGAAGAACAAACAGTGAGCTACTTGCCCTTGCTTAAGGTGACCAGGAAGTCTCAGGCTCACTACCACGAAGGGGTGCTCCTACCTTAGTACAGTGAGCAGGGGAGAAAGAGAGGGAGGTTGGGGATAAATCAGGACCCAGACATGGAGGCCTTGTTATGGCCCGTGTTAACGGTTTTAGGGCAGCATAAAGAGAGAGGGGTTAGTGCTGACCAAGAATGGCACTTGGCCATTGATTAGGGGTTACAAGGATGGCTGCAGAGGGGACCAGAGAGAAAGGGAAGATGTAGGATAAGGAAAGAGTAGGGGACTTTTTACCTGCTTCTTGCACATCCTGCTTTTCTCCCTCCTTAGGGGTGAGAACAGTTATCAATGAGAAAGAGGAAGTTCTTTGCTTTTTCCATCTAGCCCTGACCTGTGACTCAGTCAGGCTCCTCCCCTGTCCTGAAAGTTTTAAAGGAGTGAGGAAAAGAAAGAACTGGGGGTAAAGAGGACCGACTAATTTACTTAAATGTAGGCCTTGGTTATTCAGCTGATGGACTGTACAGGACAAAATGTGTTTAATATTTGTCTACCCCCTGACCACTGCCTTCCCTTTGTGGTAGCAACATGTTAGCTCAGGAAATGAAAATTCATTTTAGTACAATCTATAAGCCCAGCAAATTTCGAAGGCCAATGTGGTTTTAAAAAATTATATAAAGCATTATGAAGTCAAATAGAAATTACATTGTAGATTTGTCATTGTTTTTCAGTCATTTGGGGTTTTCCTGGCAGAGATACTGGAGTGCTTTGCCATTTCTGTCTCCAGGTCATTTTACAGATGAGGAAGCTGAGGCAAATAGGGTTAAATGACTTGCCCATCATTACACAGCCACTAAATGTCTGAGGTCAGATCTGAACTCTGCAAGATGAGTCTTCCTGACTCCAGGCCCAGTGCTCTGTGAACTATGGTGCCACCTAGCGGCCACAATGTGGATTATCCGCCATTTTTAAAGTTTCCATATTATCCCCAGAACAAAGAACTAGGAAAATGGGGTAGAAGTTACAGACAGAGAGCCCCCCGGAAGTGGAATGAGCTGTCTCCGCTAACAGTGGTTTCTGGGCCCTCAAGCAAAGGCTAAGACAGCCATTTGTCAGAGGTGACATGAAGGGATTCTCAGGCAGGGAAGGGTTGGCTTTTGTGTCCCTCCCTCGCTCTCTGAGATGCTCAGCATCTCCTCCATTTGAGAAGATAACTGAGACATTGGTGGTTGGTGGTTTTCATTTTCACATTGGCCCTGAAACAAAATTTCTAGACGGAGAAGACATCTTCTACTGAGGGTGGTTTGAAGAGAAAGTTTTTACAGTAGAAACCCCATCATTCATCAACACCCTGATTAGTGTTTCTAAGTGGAGAAAAACTGAGGCCAAGTTACGCAGATACTGCTTTTTGGGAAATTTCTGCTCCAGATTCTCATTTTCCCTCCCCACAAATGCTACCAGGAAATAATAAAAGAGAAAAGAAATTGTGATGGGATAAGCAGGGGGGGAGCCAATGACCACTGCAGCATTGACCATTCCCCTCCCTCTCTTCTTGAATTTTCATGAGTCTCTTTTTGCCTGCTTCTCCCACTTTTCTAGCTTCTCAAACTTCACAGGCACCTGGGTCGTCACCATAGTGTAAAGGTGGGGTGTTCTTTCCCACCCCTATCAATCAGGAAGTCCTATTTAGGTTGAATCCATGCATTTAAAGTATAACTAGGTGTGAACAAGGCCTTAATTAATTTGGGAGGAGGAAAGTGCTTTGATGTTGGATGAAGATGACAGATGGTGCTACATTAAAAAAAAAATCTTGCAATTGGCTGATAGAATCAGACACATTTCTGTTCAGTTCAGAATTGTGCGTTCCAGCAGCAGCAAGTTGAGGGGTGGTCAAATCCAGAAGTGAAGGACGCTTGAGAGGGAACTGCCCTTTGCAGAAGGGAAAAGGGAGTTTTCCCCTCCCCGGCACCACTGACTGCCTGGTGATGACCTTGAGAACCTGAAAAGGTCAGAAGATCTAGAGTTCCCACTGGCATCTGGCAGAATAAATCTGAAGGCAGAACCTTCATTGGTCACTGAGGGATATGCCCAGGACAAACTCAAAGCCCTGAGGAACGGCAGTCTCAAGGCCCTCAGAGCAGAGTAGAAAGCTATACCTAAAGGAAACTTTACAAGAACTCTACAATGGGAGGAGCCCAGAGCTGGTGGTTTTCTCTTTGACCACAAGTGGGCTCCTAAATTTGAATCCACTCTCTCCAAGGGCCTTGTGTATGCAATGCACGGGGGAGTTTGCCCCAGTTAGGGAGGGAGGATATTTCTACCATAACTGTCATTGCTATGCCTGTTTAGTAAATACTCTTTATAAAAGATCATTAGCTCTGTCAACAATCATTGGGAAGCACATTGTTGGAGGCTTCTATGCAACAATGCTAGAAAACCCAGTCCCTTAGGGTTACCCCTAGAACTCCAAGGGGAGGAGCAGGTCAAAAGTTTAACTAGAATTCCTAGAAGAGAAGCAAGAGGTTTTTGTTTTTGTTTTTTAAAGCTGAACATGCTTAGTAAGTGAAATGAGAGTGCTAGAGGAAATGATTGGGAAAGAAATGAGAAGGGGGAAAGAGAATTTAAGAGGTGCAAAACCTGACCTAAGCAACAGATTCTGAAAATCGGAATGGGCCAGAAAGTAGTTCCTGATTCCATAAGTATGAGATAGCTCACATCAAAAACAACTGACAAATCTAACAAAAAAACAAACAAATCTAAGACAGAGAATTTAAGAATCACTACGTGAAACCGTGACCCAAAAAAAAAAAAGAGCCTAGACATCGTATTTCAAGAAATCCTAAAAAACTGCCTAAATCTCATAAAACCAGAAGGCAAAGTACAAGTGTAAAGAATGTTTTGACCACCTCCTGGAAGAAACCCACAAATCAAAACTCCCAGAAGCATTTATAACCAAAATTCAGAGCTTACGGGTCAAAGAAAAAATTCAGGGACTGAGGTACCACAGTCAGAATCACACAGGCTTTGGCAGCCACTAGAAGGGAGTGGCAGAGAGCTTGAAATATGATATTCCAGAAAGCAAAAGACAGAGATTTACAACCAGAAATAGCTTACCCAACAAAACTGAAAGTAATCTTCTAGGGGAAGACAGAGAGAGTTGTCAGGCACTCTTGATGACAGTACCAGAGCTGTGTAGAAGCTTTTGGAATGCCCATACAGAAGTCAAGAGAAACATCAAAAGCCTTCTCATTCTGGAAGATCTCTCCACCTCTGCTGCCCCTTCAATTTCAAGCAATTCCTTAGGTGTTCAGTTGGCTTCGTTTGTTGTGGGCATGAGAGACACCCCGGGCAAAGACACTGAGGTGGGAGATAGAGCATTGTGTGTGAGATAAAGACAGCCAGACACAGAGTGCATGAAGGGGAATGGTTTATGAGAAAGGTAGATTAGAATCAGGTTGTGAAGGGTTTTAAATGCCAAATGTGGAGGAATCTGTATTCAGTCGTAGAGACAATAGGAAGCCCTGGCAGCTTATTGAGCTATGTACTTCTGGCACAAGTCTCCATCAACTGATCCTAGGGGGAGAAAACTGCGCATGGGCAGTGCCCCCAGAACACAGAGTATGGTTCTGCTCTGCTACACTCCAGTCTGCCTTCTAAAGGCGAAAGAGTAAACATGAAAAAATCGGTCTTTGAGCTCATTTTTATAGACCATGGCAGGAGTGCCCAATGAATGTGTAAGAGGGTGCTGGAAAGACAGACAGAGACAGAAACAGACAGAAAGACCAAGAGAGGCACAGAGGCAGGAGTGGAGCGAGAAAGGAAAGAAGAAAGGAAGGGGAGTGAGGGAGGAAGGAAGAAAGGAAGGAAGGGGAGGGAGGGAAGGAAGAAAGGAAGGGGGTGGGAGAAAAGAAGGAAAGAAGGAAGGAAAGAAGGAAGGAAGGAAGGAAGGAAGGAAGGAAGGAAGGAAGGAAGGAAGGAAGGAAGGAAGAAGGAAGGAAGGGGAGGGAGGGAGGGAGAAAGGAAAGAAGAAAGGGGAGGGAGATAGGAAGGAAATAAGGAAGGATAAGGAGAGAGGAAAGAAGGAAAGAAAGGGAAAGAAAGAAGGAACAGAGAGAGGGAACAAAAGAAGGAAGGAAAGGGAGGAAAGAAAGGAGAGGAAAGAAAAAAGAGGAAGGAGGAAAGAGCATCCCTTTGGTATTTACTGATATTTACTGTGCTAAGTTCTGGGAGCTACAAAAGTATATTTGAGACAGCCCCTGTTCCGGAAGAACGCACAAGGGAAGATAACACACTTCATGTCATCAAGGCCAGAGAAGAATGCCTTGGTCCGGGAAGTTACAAGACTGATGAATGGAACCAGAGGAGCTTAGATGGACATGCCCCTTCCGGAAGCAAAGGCCAGCATTGCTTTGCTTACTATTCACAGAGCAAGACATAAAAAACAGGGGTCAAGTCAGCAAGCAGGCATTGAGATATTTTGCTTAGCCCTGGGGATACGAGAAGACAATCCCTGCCTTCAAAGAGCTTGCATTCTAATGGGAATGGTGAAAAGTAAACAACTACATAAATACAAGACTTATACAGAGTACTGGAAGACATCTGAAACAGGAAAACATTAGTAACAGAGGGAACTGGGAAGAGTCCTAAGTCTTGAAGGAAGTCAGGGAACCTAAGAAGCCTGTGGTCGGAAGGCCAAGCATTCCAGTGTGGGGGGCAGCTATCAGAAAGGCAGAGAGAGCCAGAGGAAGTATTATGTTCAAGGAACCGGGGATTCAGCTGTAGGCCAGTGTGGCTGGAATGTAGAGTAAGGTGTGGAGGACAGTAAGGTGTAAGAAAACTGTGAAAGGAGGAAGGCACTAGATCATGAAGTTTTAAATGCTAAACAGGGGTCTCATAAGCAATAAGATGGCAGAGAAGATGTTTTCTCTAATCCCCATACCTTCTCAAACCTCTCCAAATCAGAAATTATGTGCCAAAGGTAAAGCAACTTCAGCTATCTCCATGGTCTAATTCACACAGAATTCAAATGAAAGCTGAACACACACACACACACACACACACACACACACACACACACACACACACACATACAGGAAATGACACTCACTGACTCTGAGCTTGCTCAGTAGTACCCCACCCTCACCTCCCACGCTACCAGTCATGGGGCTTCACTAGCACACTCAAGTACACCAAAAACAGGCTTACATCAAAATCCACCCCAGCACCCTGGCCCCCCTTGCCTCTTTCCTGAACTATGGAGACCCCAGCTCCAGGCTGCAGAAGTTCACTCTGGCCTCAACAGTTAGCTTGTCTGCAGCCATTTAGGAGTGAAAGCCTGTCAGGGGCTACAAACTTGAAGCACCAGTGCTGCAAAGCTCTGAACTTCC